AGACCACTTTAAGAAATCACTTTGGCGATGATCAAGTTGATGGATCAAGATTTGTTTATGAGGATCAATTTTTGGATGAAATTCTGCCAAAAGAAATCTGGAACGTGTTCGAAGGAAAATGTCTCCATTGAAGAATGGTAAGGATTGAATCCCGTTTGGTAAGTCGAAACTACGATTCAATTTAGTGAACATAAGAGGTACGTTTTGTGAATATATTATGCACATTATCGGTATGATATTACTAACAACCCGAAGATGAATATTAATTCAATTCTCGTACATATCATATTCACGTTCAAGGAATTTTATTGTGCACTGTTGATTCCATACAATGTGATACTGCATAATTTATATATTATGCATCTTGGAATTCGTACAAGCATACAAATTTGTAAGTTTATGATTAGTTTAATCATTTATGGTGTATGTCCAGTAAATTCCAAAATTAGCAGCATACAAATTTCATATGTTGGTTAATCACTTTCTAGCTTTTTAATTCAACGGAAGTTTTGTGCCATACGTTGCCCAAGGAATTTTGACATAAACTAATTTTTAAAGTCAGTTTGCGCATATGCCAACCATCACGTTCTTTCATGTTTAAGACTGCTTCAAATTCTGAATGCTGTTGAATATTTCTGGTATGATTCAAAAGTCGGCAGATAATGGTATTGTTGTACATTCTCGAAACGGTGCAATCCTATTTATTACATAAATACTTGGCTAACCCTGCACGTGTCTTTCCAAGATAGTTGGTTAATTTTGAACAGGTATGTGTGTTTCCCCGAAATTGTGAAGGAAATGGGATCTACTCGACCTGGTAAGTGTTTGACGACTAAATTCTTATGCAAATGCTGATCTTAGATTCTTAAGTATGCACCTGTTGATATACTTGATACATAACTGGAAATTCAGATTGCATATGTGTCACTATGATTCGTCATTTCCAGAATTTTGCACTTTGTCATGAGATTTTAATTGTGCATAATATATGTGTATGTGAAATCTAGAAAAGGCCAGAAACCAGATGTTTAATTAATTTGAATGGTTCTTTTGGTGCTTTTATATTCTACTTTGAATCTGAAATCCTACTTGAAAACACCAGTTTTGTATCTGGGTTCAATTTGTGAAGAATTAAATTACCATTCTAAATCCCGTCGAATGGTAATACATTTGTTGTGAATGTGAATCTGAATTGCCAATCATTGTGTTCCTTCGGAAAAGTCGAATTGGGTTTTTTTGTACAAAAACCGTCTGGTCGAACAAAATTATTGCTACTGGTTATAAATAATTTTATGAACCAATTGTATATTTGCATGGCTGGAATTAAATATACATGGCTAGAATTATTACATGCACATATGATAAATA